GATGTTAAGCAGGCAGTAGCATCTTATGGCATTCTTCCGTCATCTGTGAGGGAATTGGAAAAGACATGGGCTTCAAGAAATAAGGGGTCTCCACATGATTGGCTTCGGCTCTACTAGACCATGGTCCACAGCTTCAGAGGAGAGTTTTTGGAGAGAAGAGGCTAAGGTTGACTCATGGTAGAGTCAGAGGTTTTGAGGCTTCCCAAGAACAAATTCTTGGTGAGGGCCCTTATGATGATATATAGTCAAGCTATATACAATGAAACCTATATGGGGCAAGCAATGACCTTTAATAAAAGAGAAATGATGGGCTTTAGAATAGTTGGTATGGGACCAACTAGATGCTTAGCATATTGAAGAATAAACCAGCCCTTGAAATTCTCCTGTATTTGTTATTAAAAAGAAATATGGAAAATGGAGACTGCTAACAGATCTGAGAGTTGTTAATAAGGTGATCCAGCCAATGCACTCTCTGTAACCTGGAACTGGTTTTCCTTCCCTATTGCCTTTAGGATGTTCTCTTATAGTCATTATCTAAAAGATTATTTCTTCACTATACCTTTACATGAAAGGACAGAGAAAAATTTGCCTTCCCAGTGCCTACGTATCATTCTCAGCCTGCTAAAGAAATCAATAGCTGTTCTCCCACAGGACTGGTAAATAGCCTCACCCTTTGCCAGTATGTTATGAGTCAGCCACTGAAAATAATATGCAAGCAATTTCTGGAATCTATAGTTTACTTTAACATGGATGACAGCTAGTTATCTAATTCAAATGCCGATACTTTAGAAAGAATGTTTGAAGAAGTAAAGAAAAATTTTGCCTTGTTGGGGATTACAAATATCTCCTGAAAAAATACAAAGAGAAGATTGTGTTAATTATTTAGGTTATAAAATATGTTTACAGAAAATTAAGACCTCAAAGGTGAAAATTAGGAGAGATGAATAGCAAACTCTTAATGACTTCCAAAGATTGCTAGGAGGCAATAGGTCCACTATTGGGATAGAATCTGGTGCCCTGACTCATTTAAACAAAACCTTACATGGTGACAAGGACTTAGATAGTCCCAAGGAACTATCAACTGAAGCTCATTGAGATTTGACTTTGATTGAAGATAAATTATAGAAGGCACATGTGGACCATGTGAATCTGAATTTTAACTGCTTTCTGCTTATACTACCCACCAAACATTCCCCTACAGGAATTTTAATGCAGAGGAAAGATATTATCTTAGAATGGATCTTTTTACCACATAAAACGAGTAAAAAATTAAAAACATATGTGGAAAAGGTCTCTAAATTAATTCTAAAAGGAAAATTGAGACTTCACCAATTAGCAAGAACAGAGCCAGCAGAAAGTTGTAGTACCATTCATTAATGATGAAATTAACAAATTGTGGGAAGAAAGTGAATCCTGGCAAAGAGCTTGTAGTAATTTTGGGGGGAGAGATTAACAACTACACTAAAAGTGAGAGACTTTGACTTATAATAATAACTAATTGGATCATACCTGACATTGTACAGGACACACCAATAATTGGAGCTCCTATATTCTCTACTCATGCAAATAAATCATGAAAGGCAGGCTAGAAATCAGAAAATTTAAGTAAAGTAGAACAAAATTCTTCTTATTCTGTTTAAAAGTCAGATTATATGCTATTCTCATGGTACTCAGGAATTTTAAAGAACCCCTCAACATAGTTATTAATTCACAATATTCAGAGTTGTTTTTCATATTGAAATCACTGAATTTATACCAGATGATACAGAATTGATTTTATTATTTATTCAGGTACAAGATACAATCAGGAATAGACGTCATCCCATATACATAAACACATTCGATCCCATATGGGTCTGTCCGGTCCTCTAGTAAAAAGTAAAGCAGAAATCAATCAATTATTGATTGTATATGAGGCTGAGGCCTCATAATTTTATAAAATCATCATGTCAAAATAAATATTTAAAAAAGGACTTTTCCATCACATGGCTACAAGCTAAGGAAATTATAAGGAAATATCCTACTTTATACCACCAAACACAACTACCTGCAGGAAGTAACTCAAACAGTAGTCAAAGAAATAAAATATGACAGATGGATGTGTGCCATTTTGTAGAATTTGGAAAATTAAAATATGTACACCATACCATTGATACCTACTCAGGTTTTCAATGGGCAACTGATTTGAATATGGAAAAGACTGATTCAGTAATCTCATAGTTACTAGAAGTTATGGCCATCATGGGTATACCTGAACAAACAAAGACAATGCTCCAACATATATCTCTAAGAAAATTAAACAGTTTGGGCTTATTGTAATATAAATAATATTACAGGTATAACAAACAATCCTACATGTCAGGCAGTTATAGAAAGATCAAATTAAACTATAAAGGATAAGTTAAATAAGCAAAAAGGAATGACAAATATCCCCAGAAATAGATTGCATAATGCTTTGTTGACCTTGATTTTTCTTAATGCAAATGAGAAAGTAACAACATCTGCAGAGAGACATTGGACAATAGGAAAAACGGAATTAAGTCATCCAGTGTACTTCAAGGAAGTGTTAAGCTCAGAATGGAAGCCAGGAGATGTGCTATGTTGGGGAAGAAGTTTTGCTCTTGTTTCCACAGGAGAAGAGAAGCTATGGATACCATAGAAATTAATCAAGATTCAGTATGAAAAGGAGAAACCTCTTGATAAAGAGAAATGACAGCTTATTCATAGAGGTGACAACCCTAGAAGCTGGAAGAAAACCTCTCAAGGGTTGAGGCAAGGATCTGTTCTTGTCTTTCCAGGAAAATATAAAATGCCCATCTTTGAAAAGTCAAGAGACCTATGACATCTAGATGCCTAAAGAAGAAAGGATAGCTCAAGACCTAGCAATACCACTTTTGGATATGTATATACCCAAAGGATGTCCATTCATACCACTATGTTCATAGCAGCATTTTTTTTGTAATAGCCAGAACCTGAAAACAACCCAAATGTCCCTCAACCAAAGAATGGATAAAGAAAATGTGGGGTGTTTACACAACTGGATTATTACTCAGCGGTAAAAAAATAATGGCATCTTGAAATTTGCAGGCAAATGGATGGATATAGAAAAACCATATTGAGTGAGGTAACCCAGACACTGAAAGACAAATACAATATGTACTCACTCATAAGTGGCTTTTAGACATAAAACAAAGTCAGCCTACAGTTCAAAACTCCAGAGAACCTAGACAACCAAGAGGATCCTAAGAGAGACATACATGAATCTACATAGGAAGGAGAAAAAGACAAGCTCTCCTAAGTAAATTGGGAGCATGGGGGGTCACAGGAGAGGTTAGAGGGGGAGAGGGCAGGGAGAGAGGGGAGTGGAGAATAAGTGTATATATAGCTCAATAAAGAAGAAAAAGATGAAGGAGGAGGAGGAGGAAGAGGAGGAGGAGGAAGAGGAGGAGAAGGAGGAGAAAAACAAGGATGAGACAAAGGAGGAGGAGAAAGAGAAGGAGAAGAAATATTTATCCAGAAATAATCACCATGCAAAGAGAAATCTGACTTATGGTACCAATATTCTCTTCAGGGTAAAATTTCACTACTTAAACATACATATCTCCTTACTTCTCAATATAATGGTAGTCCTGACTCACTTAAAAATCAAAGCTGGCTCTTGCATGCATGTTGTTAAAAGAAAAATTCAGAGTTTCTGTCTCATATCAGGAGAGTTACCTGGTGTGTAACAGAAGAAAAATAAAAATCTAGTTAATAAGGTTATCACAACTCTGCTTTCAAAAATTCTACTTCTCCCCATACCTATTTTTGTCTCTATGGTACCTTTCTTTAAATTTATGTCTATCAAAATTCAAACTTTCTGTTTTGATATGAATACTGTTTAAGTTTTTCACAGTGAACAATACATTCTCCTATAGTAACCTCTGAAGTCTCCAGGAAGAAGATGGGGCCTACAACGATTTCACCTGGTTCATATGATGTCATTCATCTGATAGCACCATTTAAAGATCGGCTTTGGACTACAAACTTCTCACAACAATTTTGAGGTGGCTAGCTGAGATGATCTTGCCTAAGAGACTACTCTAGCCAAGATTTGAGACAAGCCCTGCTCTTTCCCATTACACAGAGACTGTACAACAAATGATAAAGCTACCTCTCTCAGGACAGTTAACAACAACAACAAGAAAAAGTCAGGATCCCCCAAAGATACCATTGCATGCAGACAGCAGGAAGGAAATTTAAGGATACAATACCCACATTCACAAGGGATTTTTGGTCATTCAATGGACTATGGATGTTTATCATTGTTTAGGGGTGTTGGTTACAAGTTTTTATTGGTAATGGTCAAGATAAAAGCTAAACAAAGGAAATTGGATTCAAGGTTCTTGTTTTGAAAAAAGGGAATATAGATATGATAGGATAAAGGGTAGATTATTGAATCTACTCTGAAAAGAAAAAAAGGAAATTGATATAAGATAAAAAGGCAGATTGCTGAATCTACTTTTGAAAAGCAACTATTAGTTTTAAATGTTTTACATTGGATTGGACTTTTGTATATTGTATACAAATTTTGTAGGTTGATACAAATTTGAGATTAATTTTGTTAAAATATACTGTACATATGTTTCTAATCTTGTTCAAGTATATACAATTCATTTAACAATATAATGCAAATTTCTAGTCTTTGAAAGTTACTACTACCAACTGATTAGGATAATAGGGAAATGCAGGTTAGTAACTGCTCACCTATTATAATCAAACAGAAAAGTCTATCAGATATGTTAAGCCTGTAGGCAGAAAATAGATGTCCCAATGTTGCAGAGGAACTCTGGGTGACTGTCCACGCAGCCAGCTGTTTCTGTCATTTCTCATATTTTTTGGAAGTCTCTTGCTTGCACTTCCTGCTTACTCGGTTAATATTATTTCCTTCTTGGGTCTTTGAGGCAGTTGAAGACTATACAGTTATAGTTACAGTTTTCTTTGTTTACTTGAAGCAGGAAACAAGTTATGATAGAAAATAAAATGGGTACAAGACTTTAAACCCACCAAGATAGGATAGGTAGGGAGTGTTTTGAAGTGTGTCACTAAGGGTGGGCTTTGAAGTTTCAAAAGCCCAGGACAGGCCGAGTCTCTGTCTTTCTACCTGTGGATCAGGTTGTAGAACTCTTAGTTCCTTCTCCAGTGGCTGACTATGTGCCGCCATGCTCCCCACCAGGATGATAATGGGCTAAATATCTGAAACTGTAAGCCATCCCCAATTAAATGTTTTCTTTTATAAGAGTTCCCTTGTTCGTGGTGTCTATTTGTAGCAATAGAAGAGAATGGAAGAAAAAAATTACCTGAGAGAAAGATGCGTAGTTGACCAAACCTACACTGGAAGAGCCTCTGAGCTCTTCCTCCCATGCTTGGGATGAACATAAATGTGGTTAGAGGAAGCAGACACACACAAAGGCTTCTGGACAGCTGCTTAAGTCACCGGGAGAGCATATGTCTGTCTTAGCGTCTCATTGTCTAAGTCAAACATCACATTGCTTCCCTGTGATTACAGAACAAGTGTTTTTGCTTACCCATGACGAATCTGCCTCTAGCGTGTTTAATGACAATCCTTCTAATTACCCAAGCATTCTGACAATAGATAGGTGACCCTGCATAGGCTCAGTTCTCCTACCTCTCTGTTTGCAACTGTAGATTTAGGGCTAGTAAATTTCATTCATGCAACATTGCCTGTTTAAAAGGCGGAGGTAGCTAAGATTCATTTAATTGGCTCACATTTGATGGGACCTCATTGTCTCTGTGCAAACAGTTCCCACAGCAGAAGTTGAAATGTACATTTTTTTCTTACTTCAGGACTCTTTCTTTCTCTCATGCTAATGCAAAAATGAAAATAGCTTGGCTTGAGTTGACCGGCTACTGGCAACCAGAGATTATTCGCATAATTTCCCACCCTTGCTAGACTCCCATTCCACTCTTCTGTAAACTAGCAAAAATCAAAGACATGAATAGTGGTGTTGCAGGCAGGCTGGGCATCTCAGTCTCCCGGGAGCTTTCCTATGGAGGGCAGGAGAAGATTTTCACCCCCATGCAGAGCAAGAATTTGCTTTTCCTCTGCTTTCTTGTTCTATTTGTGCCCTCAGTGGTTTAGAGGACACCCACCTACCTGGGCGAGAGCAATCTTCTTTACCAAACCCACTGATTCAAGCACAAAGCTCTTCTGCAAACAGCCTCGGAGGCACATCCAGCAAGAATGTCTTACCAGCTATCTGGGCATCCCTTGGCCATGTCAAGTTGACACATGAAATTAGCATCACACCTGGTATGGGTCTTGGGAGGGCCTCTTCAGAGGGATCGCTGTAGAAGGGACCCCTGGCTGTCCGGGATGGCTCTTTCCAAGTACATAGACAGATCAAAAGCAAAATGATCAAACGGAGTCTTAACAAAGACTGCACTGCACCTGAGCTGGTGAAGTGTGAATTGTGGAAGCTCTGTTTATGTTCTGGCTCCTCGGGGAGCTCGGTACAAAGGCAGATTTTATTGCAGTAATGAAAACATCCATTGATTTACAAGAGTTTGGAAATGCACCTCCACAGATGAAAGAACACAGAGGAAACAGGAATTACCATGCAGCTCCTCCTGTCTCCTCCCTCTCCCTCCCCTCCTGAATGTGAAATTTGGATGGAAATATGGTTTGGGGATGAGGCAGAGAGCAGGGACCAATGTCAGGTGCTGTGTGGCGCTGCCCTGTGGAACTGTCTCACTCATCCTCCATATGGGCAGAAAGGAAAGCCAGGCAGCTCTGCTGTTTTCATTCTGGTCCTCAGCTACATGCTTCTCGATTCCTCAGATGAAGACATAAAAGCAGGGAGATTATAACTTTTTCTTCCTTCTCTCCTGCCTGCCATCCGAGCCTCATTCACGTGTTCAGGAGATTGCTTATATAACAAATCCTGATGGGAAACAGAGCTGAGCTCAATAAACACATTCCGAGACTACCAGATTGGTACCTTCGCAGGCTTCCTTGTAGCTAGAGTGCGGATGAATGGCCCGGGGTTGCCGTGCAGACTCTCACACACCTATACTCCCCAAAAAATGGGGAGCTCAGAGAAGTGACCAAGGCAAATACTTCCTGCAGGTGACAGAAGGCTAGAGGCAGAGGCAGAGGCAGCAACTTTGCCCTTCCAGGGTGATACTGACACCATAGCCCAGCATCTGTATCCATAGTCAAAAGTAAGACACTGGGTCCATAGTGCAAAGTGAGACAATGGGCAAAAGGTGCCACCAGTTGCCACGGAAACAGTATCCTCTACAGGTAGTGCACGTAGAGGGCTTGTGATGCTTCTTCCTTCTGTTGTTCAGGCTGTCTTCTCCCTGTGTCAACTCAAAACCACAATTCGTACCTTAAAGTAGGAGAGGGAGGGAGGCGGAAGGGAGGGAAAGAGAGAAAGAGAGAGGGAGAGAGAGAGAGAGAGACAGAGACAGAGAGACAGAGAGACAGAGAGAGAGAGAGAGAGAGAGAGAGAGAGAGAGAGAGAGAGAGAGAATGACTGAGAATTTATTCTGTGGTCAAATGTTAGTGACATGGCCCAGGAACAAAGATTTAGGTTATTCCAAATGCCATGTAGCAATTTCATGAAGCTTTTATGGGAACAGAACAAAACTTATCATCAATAACACACTTTTCAAATACCTTGGAGGAAGCGGCACTTAGGGGGGTTGAAGCATAGCGGGGAAGCTCCGCTAGAGGCCTCAGATGCTGTCTACTGACACAAGCCTTTTGGTGGTTGTCAGCTACCGGTCTAGTATGTTAGTGCATCATAGAAGGTCTTACCTGTGAGTCACAGGGAGGTTAGGTCAGACACAGAGGTGAGCATGGAGTGGCTAAAGAGAGCCAAAGAGAGCACAAGATAATTTGTAATTAGGTTCCAGATATGCCAACCCTCACCACCCCAATCAGCACAGCCCCAATCAGTCAGTCAGCCTTGGGGCGTTCAAGGGAAGGTGGAGCTGTCCTCAGAAACTTCCTTTCCCAGCTACCCCTGCTCAGCTTCTGAGACTTTGCCCAGGAACCTCTGAGCCTCCCCGCTTTCCTCCAACCTATTACCCTCTGTTTCCCTCAGCCAGACTTATACTTATTGCTAGAAACTAATGATGCTGATTGGGACATGCTGAAGGCATGAAGTTGGAAGGGAAGCCATCTAGTAGAGGGTAGACTAACAATTGAAAACATCACCAGCGGCCAGAATTGAAAGACATCAAACAGAGAAAATCCATGTCACCGATGGTGAGTAAGTGGCATCAGATCTGACTGGAGTGGAGTTTCTCCAACCTAAGCAGAAAACAGGTATTATTAAGAAGCAAAGAGACACCCATCAGGGTTGATTTCAAATATTTATAATAAGCATATTATCTATATTTTATCACATTACTAGTCAAATATAAGGAAACACAAAACTAGGTATGAGCTCCTTATGATTGTGGCTCATTTACAGTTATGAAACCAAAACAAACCTACAGATTAATTACAAACAGAACTACAAAAGCAATAACATTCAAATTAGCATCATTAATTTAATGAGTGAGATGCTGGTTGTTTTGCTGAGGCTGGATCGTTGCTCACCACATGGCTCTGGCACTGACAACTGAGACACAGGAGGACGCTGAAAGAGGGCTAGCCTGTCTTTATCCCCCCAGCTGGAATCCACCGAGCCTTGGACTTCCTCCCGTCCATCACGTAGAGACTTCCTCCTTGTTTTCTACAATGGTCCTCTCTGGATAGCTGGCTTTTGTTGCACTGCTGACTTATACCAATGTTCTTTCTTCCCCTGAATTAACCATGCCTTAATAGAGCCATAACATATTGAAGTCGCTGGCCCTCCACGGTGCCCACGCTGAGCACTGCTCAAAACAATGGCAAGCAGGAAAGAAGACCAAACTGCTCAAGTGCAGACTGCACAGCATTCGGGGGATGGGGAATGAAGGTTCATGGTACAAAGACGCTGGGCACTCATTTCAGACAGCAACAGGGTGCAGTTGCAATGTAATGCAATGCAGTACTTAATGCAATGTAAGTTCTCATGCCCTGCATGAGTCATGAGAGTGCTAACCCTGCAGCTCTGTTCATGAAGGTTGGGGCATTCTAATTCCCATCACTAGAGACAAAAATGCAGCCAAGGGAATTGCTCATTTCAACGCATGCGCACTTCTAAGAAATACAGTTGGAATTAAAATACTGTTTACAAAAAAATCCGAGAAAGCCAGGTGGCTCAGAAGGTAAAGGCATCTACATTCAAGCCGAATGATAGAGTCCAATCCCTGGAACCCACATGGTGGAAGAGACCTGACCCCTGCATATCAGCATCAGATCTCTACATGTGTAGTATCTTATCATGTAGTATCTATCTTATCACGGAGACAAGGGATTTTGAAAGCTGCAGTTATAAAATCCTCCTTTAAAAGGCAGATGAGCATGCACACTCAGAGTCTGGTATTGGGGTAATGCTCGTCACATAGAGTGAGTTTGGTAGCGTCCCTTCCCTTTCTAGCTTGTGAAAGACTGTGAGAGACTCTTACTTCTTTAAGTAAGATCTTTATCCGGCAAAACTCAGCCCCGACTCCCTCAGGACCTGGGCTGTTTTCAGATGGGAGACTTCTTATTACTGTTTCCATCTCAGGTTTATATCCCCGTGCTATAATTTTGGCAGGCTGTATGTACGGGGCAGTAGATCTATTTCTTGTAGATTTTCTAATTTGTTGGAATGTAGGTTTTCAATGTGTACCCCTAGGATCCGCCCAGTGTGACTGGTGTCTACCATAATGTCTCCCTTGTCTTGCCCTTTGTCGGATACTTGTAAGGTAGGTCAGAGCAAGGCAACTCAGAAGTGGATAGTAGCAGAGCCTGGCCTTAAATTCCTCATTCTCCTACCTCCAGCTCCCAAGTTATAGATTTCTATGTGTATCCCACCTTGCCTACCTTTTTTTTCTCCAGTTTTATTTATTTGAATACAATCAATTTCTTTTGGTTAGTCTTACTAAAGATTTTAAAATCTTATTTATTTTTTAAAGGATCAATTTTTTCATTGGTTCTTCATTCTTATTCATTTCCTTATGTCTTATAATCTTAATTTTTTTCATCTACTGATTTGGTGTCTGGTTGGTTCTTGTTTTTCTAAGACTTTGAGGATAATCACTAAGTCATTTGCGATTTCTCTGGTGTGTGTGTGTGTGTGTGTGTGTGTGTGTGTGTGTGTGTGTATGTATGTGTGTGTATGTGACAGAGTTTTGGAAGAATATTCAATATATGTCTGTTAAGTTCATTTGACTTACATCATTTAATTATGATATTCCTATGTAGACTTTTTGGCTGGATGACCTGTCTATTGTTAAGAGTAGGAAATTGACTGTATAGACTGTTATGTTGAGCTCAATCTGTATATTTAAATCAGCAGTTAGTTTCATGCACCCATTTTTGGTCCATATGATTCTTAATAAAATATTTGTAAATCAGGTTCAATAGCAATTAAAAGTATAATTTCATTATCAAGTGGGTTTCATTTCATAATTGTAAGGGTGGTTCAACACATACAAATAGGTAAACGTAATGTATCACATAAATAGATTCAAGACATTACTGACATGACTATCTAAGGAGATCCAGGAAAGACCTTCTGAAAGCCCGGTGTCCCTTCATGATGAAATATACTACAAAAACTAACATGGGAAGGTACAAATCTCTGCATGGTAAAGACTGCTTCTGATAATTCTGTCTCCAACATTAATCGAAATGGAAAAAACTCAAAGGGCATTTTACCTCAAGTTAGAAATGAGGTATAGATGTATGTCCACCTTAGTCCACTCTTTAATGCATAATCTAGAACAGCGAGAAAAAGCAGTAGAATGAAAGAAATGATAAAAACATGAAAGGGAGAAGTCAAAGTGTTCTTCTTTGCAGGCGATATTAGCCTACATTGACACCGACTCTGAAGACCCTACAGAAAATTCTTACAAATGATAAATGCTTTTAGCAAAGTAGCAAAACACAAAATCAGCATACAAACATGCAGTAGCTTTCCTATCCAGCAAAGTAAACATGCTGAGAAATTTTGCCAGAAATCCCATTCATAATTCCTAGGAATAAGCCTGGTCTATGAAATGAGAGACATCTACAATGCAAACTGTAAAACACTGAAGGAATAAATTAAAGAAGACATTGGAGAAATGAAAGACCTGCTATGCTTATGGAGTTTCAGAATTAACATCATGAAAACAGCTATATCCAAAAATGACTTAGAGAGTCTATGGAATTTACACCAAAATCCCAAAAACATCTTCTTAGAAACAAAAGTAATCCTAAAATTGATGTGCGGCACAGACTGTGGGAAGCAATGAGAAAAAAACCAAACAGTGCTGCAAGTATCCCAAGCTTGACTTCAAGTGACACCACTGGGCCACAATAATAAAAACAACAGGGGACTGGCAGAACAATACACATGCAGATGACTGGAGTAGAACAGGGGGCCCAGAAATAAGCCACACAGGTACAGCCACCTGGGTCTTTACAAAGATGCCAGAAACAGAGACTGGAAGAGAGTGTTTCATCGCACCAGGCAGAACTGGATATCCACAGGTAGGAGATGCAACTGGATCCCCACCTCTCACCTATATAGACCCAATTAATCAAAGATCTAAACGTCAGACCTACAACTCTGAAACTCTAAATTAGAGGGAAATACATGGGAAACATATTAAACTATAGGAACAGAGAAGAACTTTCCGAAGACAACCCCAATGACCCATGAAATAATCACAGGAACTAATAATTAGGATTGCATGAAATTAAAAGTTTCTGTGCAGCAAAACAAGTAATTTAGCTTAAAAAAAGTCTCTGCATGGGAGAAAGAACTTCGTAGTCTACATGGATGTTAAAAGGATTGTTAGTGAGAACATATTTTAAAAACTCGAAGACCCACTAAAAGCCAGCCCAACAACTCACTCCATAACTGGGCTAATGGAATGAACATCTGGGTCTCAAAAGGTGAGGTCATACCGACAACAAGCAGGAAAGATGGCCAACATCCTCAGTCATCGGGGAAATGGGAATTAAGGCCACAGGAAAGTCTGCCTCCCACCAGTCAAAAAGGGTAGGGTTAAGGAGACAAGAAGAACCAAATGGGTGAGGGTTTAGGGGAGAAGAAACCCCCATACGCTGCTGGCAGGGACTGAACTGGCCCCACTACTGTGCTAAATGGCAGAGTCGATACGACCAGGCTTTAACACTCCTGCATCAGTACCTGAAGTCAACGATCGTAGAGACACTCATGCATCTTTGTTTATTGCCATAATGTTCCCAAGAGCGGAGACCCCGAATCAGCCGAGGTGTCTGGAAGCGTGTGAGCAAACACGATGTGGCATGTGCAGTGTATAAACAATGGGGTCTTATTCAGCTATGAAGAAGAATGGAATTATGTTATCTGCTGCAAAATGTTTGTAACTGGAGATAATCGTAGGAACAAAATAAACAAGTGCCCCACAGACAAATATTATGGGTTTTCTGTCAGTCGTACATCATAAGAGTTTATATAGATGGATAAAATCTTGTGTGTGTGCATGTGAGAAAGAGAGGGGGGAGAGAGAGAGAGACAGACAGAGAGAGAGAGAGAGAGAGAGAGAGAGAGAGAGAAGAGACAATGTCTGGAAGAAAGAAGATGAGAGGGAAAAGGTGAAGCAAGCATATAGCTAAAACACATGATACACTGGAATGATAATGTTTTATGAAACTGATAATCATATACAATGATATATATAACAATACGGATATTATTTGACACCTAATAAAGTATACTCTAAAAGTCAGCCTGGGCAGCCCAGAAACCTCCATCTCAAAAATGACCCAGCTGTGACTCAAACTACAACAGCAAGTCTACCAAATGTGGATGGGGCACAATGAACACGAAGTAACCCTTGCTGCATAGTGAGTTCACACATAGCTTTATCTCCTCGGGCCAGAATCTTAGATTTCAGTTACACGGCCGTGAAACACTCTGCTCATGATTCATGAAAACACTTTATTAACTGATTATAGATCTTGTGGCCTCAGCAGGGGGCACTGAGAAGTGCCCTGCTGACCTACATATCCCTCCACAGAGGCTGAATGACATACCAACTGTTAAAATTTCCCCTGTTCAACCGAGAGGTGGTAAGACTCTGCCTGTTCTTTCTAACCAGTTTCACGGCGATGGCAATTATTAAATAAAGAGATGATTCCTCGGTCATCTTTGGGTATATGAAAACTTTTCAGACTTGGCAAATAAGTTTTTAAAAATAATGACTTTGTATACACAAGAATCAACGACAGCTGATTCTTAACTTCAAGGCAATGAAATGAGGCTGTAAAGGCTTAGTAATGAGTGTGCTTTTACCTTAAATTAAACACCATCATGCAAACATACCTCTCGGCCTCATTCGGCCATATGAACGGTCAGTGATGCCTTACAAATGTCTCTGTTTTCCTCTGTTTTTCCTGCCCTAGAGAGCTGTGCAAGCCAGGTGTTTCATCCCTTGGACAAACATCTGAGAGGAATAGGTTTAAAGAAAACCATTTCAGCCCATGGTTTCAGAGGCATTGACCTGCAGTCAGCTGGCTCTAATGCTTTTCTTCCTTTACTTAGACTTGTTTGAGGTGTTGGAAAGATGGCTCAGTGGTTAAGAGCACTCACTGCTATTGCAGAAGATTGGGGCTCAGTTCCCAGCACCACAACCATCTGTCACTCCAGTATCAGAGGATGTGATGCCTTCTTCTGGCCTCTCTGGGCACTGTACACACATTGTACTTATACATACAAGCAAACAAAACTCTCATCCACATAAAAATAGTTATTTTTAAAGAACAAATTGGTTTACATGAAAGTATTGCATTGAAGAGAAAAACAATACTGTCTGAAGGTAATCTCCATGTGCCAACTGAGCAAAACGTGGCTCTCTTATATGGGCATTCTCACGTCTGCACAATTCTTTCTCTTCCTGCCAGTCAAGTATCCTTCACACACACACATCCACATAAACCACAGAGGGACCAAGGGTGGGTCTCCAGTGTTGGGATGTCAGCTAATTGTATAAATGCTAGCCTCCTAAATAGGTGAATCCATACTTTTCCGAAAGTCTCCACCCAGTTCGTGTCACACCCAAGCCTCAAAATTGCCTCTTTTCCGGTCAGAAAGAGTTGAAAACTACTCATCAGAGCCCCCATCCCAGGAGTCACCTGGTGAAAATGCTGAGGCAAGACTCTTCCTCTCCTTTCCAGAAAGCAGGAAAGAAACAGATGTGCTCATCACTGCAGGAGACAGATGTGCTCATCACTGATAGAGACAGATGTTCTTATCATTGCTGGAGACAGATGTGCTCATCACTGCTGCGACCAGATGTTCTTAT